TGAACTGTGAACCGCGTCCCGCAGTGCGAAAAAGTTTCTGTTTCCTATCGGGAATCCACACTGCGAAAAGCTGCTGTTAATTAATCGTATCGATGTTTTTATCGATAGATGACATTATGGTATCAATAATTGATTAGGTCTAGCCTATATTATTGTTAACATTATATTATATGTTTTAGAATTAATAATTATAATTATCTCTAATTAAATTATTAAATATATACATTATATATTAGGCCTAGGCATACATGGCCTATACATAAAACAAAAAATAAACAAATAATAATAATAATAATAAAATAATAATGATAATAGGCCTTAATAATAATAATAATAATATAATAATAATAATAATAATATAATAATAATAATAATAATAATTTTACGATAGTTTGATTAATGAGATAATAAAAATCAGCATATTAAATAAAATTACGTCCATGCAAAGCCTGCTTTAAAAAAAAAATGTTATCTACCGTACTGATTTGCTTCTGTTTTAAAAACTAATCTTATAAATTATAAGTTCATTTTCTGTGATAATTATATCCACATAGGCTAATTCATGTTTTCAATGTTAATATGGTTGATAAAAATAGTGTAGTATAACAACTCCCTGGTTTTATATAGCGCACATATCCATCTAATCTAAGATGCTCAGGGCGCTTGATATATGGACTAGGAACTCGATCAAGACTTTCTTCATCCCTCTAAGGGTCCCTTCGTGTCTATGCTACCCGGTTACCCGGTACCAGCAACTCTCGTCCACAGGGGCTGTCTGTTCCAGTACACCGTGTATCCCCCTACTCGTCTCGAAGGATATACTGGGTTCTTTATAGTGCACACGAGCCATTGTATAGACTGGGCCTACGGTTTATAATCCTTATCCGAAAAGACTTGTTCTACCACCAGAACCATAGGTACGGAAGCTTAAAGTGACCTTCCGAGTTTCCGAGTTTCCAAGATAATTATCTTGGAAACATGAAATAAACACTTATTAAAACGTCTTTCCGAGATAATTTATCTCGGAAAGACGTCTTTCCGAGATAACGTATTTTGGAAAGACGGAATTCCAAGATAACGTATCTTGGAAAGACGGAATTCCAAGATAATTGATCTTGGAAAGACGGAATTCCAAGATAAGTATCTTAGAAAGACGGAATTCAAAGATAACTTATCTTGGAAAGACGGAATTCCAAGATAC